GTTTCTGTCCCAACTACTCAATTCTGCTGTTTAGAACAGAAGCAGCCGCAGAAGACAGAAACGAATAGGTGTAGCTGTGTTCTAATAAAACTTTACTTCTAACAACAGGGCGGGTGGGCTGGCTTTGGCCAGGGAGCCATAGTTTGCCCCATCCTATTCTATGTGCAGAGTGGTTCTCACACCTTGACCTTGACCTGCATCTCCTCCTCTACATCTCTCAAGTTTCACAAAGTCACCTTGAACCTTTGCTGTACTCTTCTTTGTCTATCCTCTTCTACTTCTTTATTTTTCAAATTTGGAGACAAATCAATAAATGGACATGGCATCCACTGACAGCTACATGCTGCAGCTGGAAAAATACAAGATCCAGGATCGCATGTTGAGTACAGAGCTCAGTACAGGCTGCAGGGTTCTAACTGCCTCCACACCCACTAGCTCTGTGACCTTGGACAAGCTCTGTTTCAGTTTCTCAGCACGCAGCTGCCGTGAGCAATGCAGACGCACCCAGAAGGCCCCCGGCAGGACATGAGGATCTTCACGTGACACATTCGGGAAAGCCAGAAAACTGGCCGAATGGGGAGTCTCTTCCAGTCTGACTCCCACACTCCTGGCCTCTCACCACTTCCCACCCTCTCTCCACCAGAACGGGACCCACTCTGGGGTGGAGGGAACAGGCAGCGCCATGCTGTCTTAAGCTTTATGGCCTTGGAGTTTCTGGGACAAGGGAACCAGGTGCTGAGCTTGCTGCTGAGCTAAGGTTTCTCTGATGGGCCTGCCAGTGACCTAGACACTTAGTGTCTGACCTTCCACCTCATGTTTAAGGCATGTACCTCGCAGCTGGGTATGGGAGCTATAGAAGTAGCAGCAGCGCCTTACTAAAGCTGCAGAAGGCAGGTCAGACACGACAAGGAAACATGAGGCCTGTTAGAGGCAGTACCAACCTCTGCCCGACTCTAAATAAAGTCCAAAGGAGAGAAGGGCTCCGTGCACCTGCCAAAAACTTTTCTGCTCCAAGAAAAGCACGGGACAAGCCTGGCTGCAGAATGGAAGAACAAAACCTTATCTGACTCAGCCAGATTCCCACGGGTGGGAGAACCCGAGAGCTGGGACAGGCCGGGCTCACTGCTCTGGAGACCCTGGAGAGGGGGAAGGACTTGCTCAAGGTGATGTGACCGCCTAGCAGTGGGTGAGGCGCTAGAGGCCCTCTCCCAGTTCTCAGGAGGCCTACAAGAGGAACACAGGAAGCTAGTCAGCATTCGCTTAGGCAGCATGACTGTTCTAGCATCTATAACGAGGACATTATGCAAGCAAGAAACGCCTTAAGATGGCTCCCACTTAGTTTCCGCCCCAATCAGCTCCTTGCAGCTGAATAAGCTGGCCAGAAACCTACAAAGAGGAAGAGAGAGTTCCCTCAAGAATACAGATGTTATTCTTACTTCTGTTAACACGTCGCACTGTAAATGCTATTTACTATTTTTCTCTAGTAGGCGCAGCAGGGAGAGAAAGAAACCAAGACTCGCTGGATGCCAGGCATTGTGTGGGTGTCCTGTGTGTGCCCGTTTGCCTGCAATGACCCCGAGAAGCGGGCGTTATCATCTGTGCCCACTGTCCACGGCAGGCAGGGCCAGGCCCGAGAGCAAGCTTATCTGCCGCCCGAGCCCACACTGCTCTTCCATGTCCTGCTGCCCCTCGGCGACTGGAAGGTGTCACCACTCGCCTTACACATAAGAGAGCTGGCTCACCAATTCGGACACACATGAAATGACAAGAAATACAAGATCCTCTCTCCAGAGCAATTTGGCCAGGAGGAAACTGCTCTGAGCAAATAACGTCTGTCCTGCTAAAAAATTACTCCACCTTCATCTTGCCATCAACTGACAGAGTCAGAAACTACTCTAAAAACTGCCCAGGTAACCTCGTATCGTTACTAAATAAAAAAAACAAAACACCTCACAGTCTTCAAAACGGCATCTTTGTGAACTACCAAAAGCAAAACAGGTCTGCAGCAAAGACGAGGCCGGTATTTAGAAAGCAAACGCCATGAAACCTGGCGGCCCCCTTCCCCCCCCCCCCATGTCTTAATTTATCCAAATGAACTTCATATGCCGCCCAGACAACGAGGCAGCGTTTCCGCTCTTTCCATTAGGTTTTAATTAGGAAACCAGCCTCAAACCTCTTATTCTGACAGGATCCCCTCCACCTACACGCACATTGCCGCTACGGGTCCTTGAATCAGCTTATTAAATACCAACTGCCAGAGATCTCAGAATCCATCCTTTCCTCTCCTTATTATGTCAGAAATGTTGCCGCAGTCCATGCAAACGCCTTGCTCGCTTGGAAACGTAGCAATCTCATTATTTCCTGTCACTCAACCCCCTGACCTGGGTCAGAACCGCTCAGTCTGGTCCTGGAAGGTGTCCACAGGGACCAGAATCAGGTTGTCGGGGACAGGGTACTCGCAGAGGCCTGACCATAGTTCTCAGTAGCCATGTTCACCATAGAAGAATCGACTGCATCTGGATCTGGCCTATCCAAGATGGTTCTGGGACTCAACAGCCATGAAAAGTTAACGGAATAAGGCAACCCCGAGACACCCATGGCCCTTCTATCAGCAAAGGGAAAGAAAGGATCTGAGAGAAAGGAGCAGAGGTTGAGGCGCTTTTAAAGATAAGCTAGCCCAATACGAAACTGTCCACGTTCAACTGGACAGGAGCAGCATCCAAGTTCAAAGTCAACCACTCATCTCCACAGCTGGGAAAGCCTTCCTTTCCGCAGGTGCCAAGTTTTCCCCCTGGGAATGGCCTTCCTGGCGAAGGAAAAGCCCTGTGTGGCTTCAGAAAGCAGCTCTATGCAAAAACAAAATGCTGGCTTCTCGAGATCAAAAACTTAACGAGACCCTATCTGGGAGATAGGACAGATCGTGAAACAGATTAGGGTAATCCTATTATTTTTCTCCTGAAGAGCAGATTTGAGGGCAAGTAAGAAAAATAGGGGCTTTAAGGACCAGAATATCCACGTGTTCCTGGTCACAATGATTTGGTTTCTACGGGGAGATTTTAATTGCTTTCAGAGTAAACCTCTCCCCAGAGAATATAAAATTTTACAAGTATACGAGAGTTGCCATTTAATCAGGTATTCTGAGTGACACCCTTCTTTTTTTTTTTTTTTTTTTGCAACATCCATTAATCTGAATTTTAACTAATACCGGTACATCAGTTTTGGGAAGAAAAAAGAAAAAAAAGGCAGTACTGTGACATTTCAAAAACAAAGGCTTACCAACCTAGTTTGACGTAATTACTGGGGTTTCTTGGGACTGGATACATGAGATTTCTCTGAGGATGTAAAAACAACAAACCCTCGTGTGGATATGCCTGAGCGCTTTTTCCATGTTTAGGGAAATGTTTTTAAATCCGATATAGGATTGCGAGAAGAAATCCTAGTTCCTTAATGCTTCCAAGGAAAGTTCCATCAGCATCCCTCTGCAACTTAGCTCTTGGACCTGGGAAGGATCATCTGGAGCACCTGGTGTCTGCACGTGGCGGAGGAATTGTCACATTTTCGGCTGACCTTGAGCACCGGAGTGTGTTCAGTTTGTGCTTCAGACGTCTTTTTTTTTTTTTTTTTGTCTTTTTTTTTTTTTTGCAGGACACTGTAGTGTGGACACTTCTTCCTCCCACGACAGACTTTACACACCTAAGACCACCACTGTCCGGCAGTGAGGTCGCGAACACAGTGAGAGGAAGCACAAGTGGCCCGCGGAATTGCAATTTACGTTTCCTCATCCGAAGGCAGGGAATTTTCCCTTCTCCCAAGGACGGAAAAAAGGAAACCTGATCTTTCGGACTGAAAGAGGGCTGTGTGTTAAAAAGCTTTCTCTACCAAAGTATGTCAGGGACCAGGAGTGGACAAGAGGGAAAACAGAACTTCAACGTGTTTTGGCTTTTAACAGGACTTATGCTTGTAAAACACATCAGAAGTACAGTGTTTGGTTCTGCAAGTCATTTCTGCCGCTGTTTTTTTGCCTTGTACATGTAGAGAAGGGGGACTCGGGGCCGAGGGAAGTGTTCCCTCCACCATGACTGGGCGTGTAACACGTTTGCATCGACTTTTCACGATCAGGCATGTGCTTTCGAACAAACGACAGTGGAGGCAAGGAGAGGAGACTGGGTATTGACACTTTACAGATCTGGTGCTTCAACTGTACTTTACAAATGACTTGCTTAATTTAAACGTCCATCACCATAAGAGACAGTGGAGTCAAATGAGAAAATCGGATCTACTTGAGCCACAATCTTTCCGGGGGGGAAGTGGGGCGAAAGGGAGGGAGAGCATTAAGTGGAGTGCAGGTCTCATAAACCAAATTCAGTAACTTTGTCTCCTACAAATGGACTTGAGGGCTGGAGACCAAGCAGTGAATTGAAATGACAAGAGGTATATACCAAGGGCTTGAAACATACGGGCCTTTTACTTAAGTTTTTGTCATGTTACAGTAATACTTTTTTTTTTTTTTTTTAAGAAAACTGTGTACGTCATATTTAAAAAAAAAAATTAAACATCGAAAGGATGTGCAACTATAAAAGGGCTCAACAGGGTTAGAATCCTGATTTGAACATATAAACTCACTCTCTCAAGCATCACTTTGATCTAAAGGCGAGGAGGAAGGCAGGCAGGAAAAGGGACAAAAAGAGGGAGATAATTGAATTACTCAATAAAAGAGGCTACTTACCATCCCAACCCATTGTAAGACATACACTTCTGACATAAGAGAACTCCTTAGAGGTCGAATAAAGCGTGTAAAGCACCTCTGGGTAATGCACCTGCCCCCGAGGGGGGCCCGGAAGCCCGACGCGGGCTGAGCGGAACAGACCTTTTGCTAATCTATTTCCTGGAACTGGAGTCAGGCTGCGATGGGCTGCGATTCCCAGGACGATACATTTAATTAGAACAAAACAGAACAAAACGGAAAAAAAAACCAAAAAACATGGTTGTAAAAAGCTCACCAAACTGCTGCACTTGTGTCTCTGAATGTGGGTGGCATTTCTTTTAAAAGGCAAAGGAGGGTCTGTGAAGGAGAAAGGGAGAGGGGGGAGGTGGGAGTGGGGAGCAGGGGCGATGGAGCCTGGCAGGGAAGCCCTAGCGAAGATCCCCCCTGCCTGGTGGGGGGGCCCGGTGACCCCCAGCCGGGCAGCGCCTGGACAGCATCTGCCCAGGGCGCGCTCTTGCCCTCCCCCCACTCCAACCCCTCCCAGGCTCGCTGTGCTGCCAGCTGAAACCCTCCTTCCACCTCCAAATCCACTCCCTGCCCCGCCGGGGAAGGGTGGGCGAACCCGGGGGCAGGGGGCAGGGGGGGCCTGGGTCGCGCGGCGCCGGCCCTTCCCCTCCCTCCGGAGAAGGGCGCGGGGCGAGCCCGGTCCGCACTGAGTGCCCGGGCGGGGGGCGCCCCCTGCGCCCCGGGCCATGGCGCACGGCGCCCTCGTTCTCTCTCCCGGAAGGGATGGCGCCGCTTTTCAGCCCCAAAAGAGGAGAGAACCCCAGAGGAAGGGGGGGCCGGCTGACTTCCTCTTCCCTCCAAGGGCAAGGGAACCAAAAGACCTCTCCCTCGGCCCCCCAAAAAGCCCGCAGCACCTACCTAAAAAAATAAGAGCAAGAGGACCCCCTCCTTTTAAAGAAAAGCATGGGGGTCCTTTCCCCCCCAAAAAACGGGCAGGGACTTCCATCCAAGGGGCTACTAGAGGTCCCCCCACCTTTTTTGCCCTCTAGGGAACACCACCCGCCAAAAAGGGGGGGAGGAATAGTGCAAGGAGCCCCCACGTAAGGACCCCCCCTTCCCCAGGAGGAGGATGGGGAGAGGACTGAGCGAACCCCCACTTTCTGCCTCCTAAGCAAGCTGGGGTACCTTTCCAAGGAGGGCAGGGCGCACCTCCCCCAGGAGAAAGGATACTGCCGGGGGCTGGGGGGCCCCCCAACTCCAGACCCCTAAGAGCGGGGCTGTGGCTCGAGATCTGCCCCCCCCGAAAAGGGGGGTCCGGGGGGCCCCTCCCCCATCCCCGTCCCTGAAGCCGGGCGGCCGGCGGGCGGGCCCGTGGCGGCGGCCCCGGGCGCAAGGGCAGCCTGGGCCCCCCGCGGGCCGCCGGCGCCCCCTCCCCGGGGCGGGGGGTCCGGGGGGCGCCTCCTCACCTTCCCCTCAGCATGGCGCCCAAAAAAGACAGAGCGAGAGCGAGGGAGAGCGGGCGAACGCCGCGAGGGGGGGGACACGCATGAGGCCGGGAGAGAAAGCAAGCGAGAAAGAGCGAGCGAGCGAGAGACACCCACCGACCCCGCCCTTCCTCCTCCTCCTCCTCCTCCTCCTCCTGCTCCGCGGCCCGGCCCAACATGGCGGCCGCCCCCCTTCCTCCTCCTCCTCCTCCTCCCCCCGGGGAGCCGCCCCGGCCGGGCCGGGGGCCTGACCTGTCGTCAGGGAGCGGGAGGCGGTGGAGGAGGTGCGGGGCGGCCGGGCAGGCGTCGGGGGAGCACGGAGGCGGCGAAGGCGTTGACGGCGGCGATGGCGGCGGCGGCGGCGATGCTGATGGCGGCGGCGGGGGGGTCCCGGGCGCGGCCTCCATCGTTCCTTTGGGGGTGGGGGGAGGGGATGTTAATGCACGAAAAAGGACTGCTTGGGCGTGGCGGGAGCGGGGCACACTTCGGCTCGGAGGGCTCCTGGCGGGAATGGGGGGCGATATATATATATAATTTTTTTTTTTCCATTTCGGAATCACCTCGGCGCCGACCTCCGCGTGGGCCGCGCGGCCTAGGCCTCGGCGGGCCGCTCGCCGCCTGCTTTCTCCGCGGCGCGTCCCGGGGTCGCACTCGCTCACGGGCGCGGAGCCCTCATCTGGGCTAGAGTCACCCCACCCCACCCGCCCCCCAAAACGCACACACACACACACACACCCGCGGGCCCGGGAGTGGGACGCCGGAGTACGGGAGACTGGTGGGTGGTTGGGTGTAATTAGCGCGGGCCGCGCGCGATTGAGCAAGCGAGGGGTGGGGGGAGGAGGAAGAGCGAGCGAGGGGGGGGTTAAGAAGAAAAGGGTTTCAAGGGAGAGAGAAACGGGGCCGCGGAGACGGGCCGACTGTCTGTCTGCCCGCCCTCGGTGCCCCGGCCGTCCGGCCCCGGCCGCAGTCAGAAATTCACACAAAATGGCGGCGTGGCCGGGACAGACTGAGAGGCTGAGGCGGGAGGAAGGGCGAGGTGGGAGGGGGAACCGGGAGGCGGAGGCCGTGGCACGTAGCGGAGGGGGGCGGGCACGGGCCGCTGTCCCCGAAGGGCGGCGGAAAGAGCCGAGGGGAGGCGGAAAAAGCCGAACGCCGCAGAGCGGGAGCCTGGGGAGAGGCGGAAAGTGCCGAAGGCGGTCATGGGGCGGGGCTAGAGGGGGAAGTGGGCGGTCCCTGAGAGCCGGAAATAGCCGAAGCGGATCGGAGCTGGGAAACAAGGAACTGAGGCGATCCGGAAAGAGCCGAAGGCGGCGTCGGGGTGGGTGGCAGGAGACGGAAACAGCCGAAAAAGGCCGTGCGCGGGTAATGAGATTTAGAAGGAAGGAGTTGAAGGGCTGGCTAACGAAGGCGATTAATTAAGAAAATAAACGATTTTGAGTAATTCGCCCGAGAAGCAGCAGGAAGAACCGAAAATTGCTAGCTTGAGGGAAAGCGGGGAGAGTAGGAAGTTTTAGGTGGGAGGATGGGAGGGAAGGAAATCGGGCTACGGAGAGGAAAAAAATAACCTAAAGCCGGAGGCCGGGTGCTGGAGTTGTAGGTTTCCGGAGAATGGGAGGATGGAGCCAGGCAAGCCGGGAGGTGATGTCATTAGGGACCTCGGTCAATGACGTCATCCCTGGGCGGTGCAAGAGGGGCGGGCTTTGGTGGAGTTTTACAACCTGCTTAGTATACAGAAGGCTTTCCAAGTACTAAAGGGATTCGGAACAGTGTAAGAACGTAAAATTCTTTCACCCTCATAACTATACTCAGGACAGATACTATTATTCCCATTTAATGGATACAGATTGAACCTGGTTCAAGGTTATAGAATTAGGCCTAGGCATCAATTTTTTTTTTTTTAAATCAGCTCTGGCATTCCATTGCCTCTTATGGGTAGTCTATGGGCCTCTGGTAAACAATAGGAAGCACACACCTCTGGGGGTTTATAGAAACTCATGACCTCTTGCTCTGAGAATTAGCTCTTGGGTTATTCGTGGACTCTATGAAGATTGAATGGCCACAGTCCCAGGTGATGATGTGTTATGGTACACACCAAATGATGAAGTGGGCAGATCCAGTTTCACTTAATCATCATCTGGAAATGGTATTTGAGACTGAACTCGGGCAGGTACTGTGAATAAGGTCTGCATCCTGTGTCCCACTCCCCAACCCTGGTCATAGGTTGATTACAATGGGTCCTTTTCTTGGGAAAAGTCACCAATTCACCTTCATTAGAATAATAATTTGTTGGGAATTGGTGTTATTCCCACCCCCCTGCCCTATTTCTGCCTGTAATTACATCCCTGGACTTCAATATTTTCATAGTATAACTTTTTATATTATTATTTTAATATATTTTATTGATTTTCCACAGAGAGGAAGGAAGAAGGATAGAGAGCTAGAAACATCTATGAGAGAGAATCATCGATCAGCTGCCTGCCGGAGGTTTGCCCGCAACCAAGATACATGCCCTTGACCTGAATTGAACCTGGGACCTTTCAATCCACAGGCTGACGCTCTATCCACTGAGCCAAACCGGTTTCGGCGTCATAGTATAACTTTTTATAAGTTGAAAACGTACCCTTTACACAAAAACATTGTCAGCATGCATCAATGATGTTATTCCCATTAATGAGAGAAACAACAGAAAAATAAAGCTCGTTCTATTTTCGTTATTTAAGTTCGGGAGGAACTTGAGGAATGAGTATGTATAGACTGAGGGGAAAAGAATGCAGGAATTGGGTTGGGAAGTTTGATACCAAAGTGGTTAATGATGCCCTGGCTGGTTTGGCTCAGTGGATAGAGCGTCAACCTGCAGACTGAGGAGTCCCAGGTTCAATTCCGATCAAGGGCATGGACTTTGGTTGCCGGCACATCCTCAGTAGGGGGTGTGCAGAAGGCAACTAGCTGATCAATGTTTCTCTCTCATCGATGTTTCTAACTCTCTATCCCTCTCCCTTCCTCCCTGTAAAAATCAATAAAATATATTTTTTAAATAAAAATAAAATATATTTTGTAATGGTTAATGTCTTTCAAGGTTGTGTTTTCTGCCAGACAAAAATCACTTAAAACTTGAGAATCTCCCATAACTCTACCAAATCTAAATCCTAATCAACAATTAAATGGTATGTCGAAGTAACATCTAGAATGTCAGAAGGACTTGGTATTATCAAAGCATGAAGAAATCTTGCCCAATGGGATTTGCTGGTCTTTTAATTTTTCTCACTACCTAAAAGCGGGCGGCCCTCCAGAACTGTAGGATTCCCGGTTGGCGCTTGAGAGATGGCACCCACTGGAGACCACATCTTGAAAGGATAGGGTGCTGTCCTCATCGATGGAGCCTATGGTCTCAACCAGTGTTGTTTGGCCCATAACTAGAATACATGGGGTTTAGAAAGCATAGAATGACAACTTTTAAAATTATCCATAATGGCCGAAACCAGTTTGGCTCAGTGGTAGAGCGTCAGCCTGCAGACTGAAGGGTCCCAGGTTCCATTCCGGTCAAAGGCATGTAAATACATTGGTTGCGGGCACATCCCCGGTAGAGGATGTTTCTCTCTCATTGAGGTGTCTAGCTCTCTGTAAAAAATCAATAAAATATATTTTAAAAATAAATAAATAAATTAATTAATTAAAAATAAAAATTGTTTTAAAAAATGTATCCATAATGACCCATTTACAGTATTTTTCCTTTATATTCCCATAACCCTCATCTACTAGCTCTTGGTGTGTTAAAGAAAACTTTTTTTTTTTGGCCCTAGCCAGTTTGGCTCAGTGGATAGAGCGTCACCTGTGAACTGGAGGGTCCCACGTTTGACTCTGGCCAAGGGCACATGCCCAGGTTGCAGGCTCAATTTCATACAGGAGTGCAGGAGGTAGCCAATCAATGACTCCCACTCATCATTGATGTTTCTATCTCTCTCTCCCTCTACCTTCTTCTCTGAAATAAAAAATACACTACCAAAAAAAAGAAACCTTTTTTGGACAATTTAGTTATGAGCCAACATTTTATTACAATTATGCATGCAAGGAAGAAAAGTTCTCTCTCACAGGCTAATTAAAAGATTTGCTCTTATCTGGTTGAGCGTTGGCCTATGCACCAAAAACTTGATGGTTTAATTCCCTGTCAGGGCACATGCCTGGGATTCTGGCTCAATCCCCAGTAGGGGGTGTGCAGGAGGCAGCCAAATCAATGTTTTCCTCTCATCCATGTTTCTTATCTCTCCCTTTTTCTCTCTCTAAAGAAAAAGATTTGCTCTTGCCCTGTCCAGGTAGCTCAATTGGGTGGAGCATGATCCTACATACCAAAAGTTTGCAGGTTCAATTCCCACTTAAAAAAAAAAAAGGCCTTGGCCGGTTTGCTCAATGGTTAGAGTGTTGGCCCATGAAACAAAGGTCAAGGTTTTGATTTCTCCTCAAGTTTTAATCCCCAGGGCCAGTGGGGGCACAAGCAGGAGGCAACCAATCAATGTCTCTCAAGTACATATTTTCATTTCTCTCTCCCCTTCCCTTCCACTCTCTCTAAAAATCAATGGAGCCAAAACCGGTTTGGCTCAGTGGATAGAGCGTCGGTCTGCGGACTGGAAGGTCCCGGGTTCGATTCCGGTCAAGGGCATGTACTGTACATTGGTTGCGGGCACATCCCTGGTGTGGGGTGTGCAGGAGGCAGCTGGTTGATGTCTCTCTAACATCGATGTTTCTAGCTCTCTAGCTCTCTCCTCTCCCTTCCTCTCTGTAAAAAATCAATAAAATATATTTTAATAAATAAATAAATAAAAATCTATAGAAAAAATATCCTCAATCCTCAGGTAAGGATTTAAATAAAAGAAGAAGAAAAAAAAGATTTGCTTTTGCTAGGGACATTTTATGTGACAAGAAAAAAAAATTCCAAGATGTCTTATCCTATATAATAAAGGGATAATATGCAAACCAACCAAACAGTGGAACGACCAGTCGCTATGATGTGCACTGACCACCAGGGGCAAATGCTCAACGCAGGAGCTGCCCCCTGGTGGTCGGTGTGCCCCCATGGGGGAGTGGCGCTCGGCCAGAAGCTGGGCTTATGGTTGGTGAGCAAAGCAGCCCCTGCCTTCACAGCAGCGCTAAGGACCATCATGGTATCCCAGACTGCGAGAGGGTGCAGGCCGCGCTGAGGGACACACACACACACACACACACACACTCACACTCACACCACACACACACACACACACACACCACACACACACACACACACACTCACACACTCACACCACACACACACACACACACACACACACTCACACACACACACACACACACACACACACACACTCCAGTGCGTGAGTGCCCGGCAACGAGCCTCTAGTATTAAAATAAGCAGGCCAGCAGGTGAAAGGAAGAGATAAGAGGGTTAATCAGTTAACAGCTGCAGGGCAAAACCAACAAAAGACTGCTTACATTCCCGAATGTACATAGAAATTTTGAATTAACTTCCAGGTGGCTATTTCCAAGAGTTTTCAGAGAGAATAGCCAAGGCTGGTATCTGCCAGCTGGAGGATTGCCTGGTGTGGGAGGAAAGTGACCAGAGGAGAGATGAAACACAGAAATTCCCTTAGAACCACTTTGGAACATAGCCTGGCCACATCAACTACAGCTGAACATACATCTACACTGATTCAACCAGTCCGC